GAAACTAGACAATGGTCATAGCTTATCTGAAGGTGAGTGAAACTAGACCATGGTCATAGCTTATCTGAAGGTGAGTGAAACTAGACCATGGTCATGGCCGATCTGAAGGTGAGTGAAACTAGACAATAGTCATAGCTTATCTGAAGGTGAGTGAAGCTAGACCATGGTCATGGCTGATCTGAAGGTGAGTATAGCTAGACCATGGTCATGGCTGATCTGAAGGTGAGTGAAGCTAGACCATGGTCATGGCTGATCTGAAGGTGAGTGAAGCTAGACCATGGTCATACCTGATCTGAAGGTGAGTGAAGCTAGACCATGGTCATGGCTGATCTGAGGGTGAGTGAAACTGACCATGGCCATGGCTGATCTAAAGGTGAGTGCAGCTAGACCATGGTCATGGCTGATCTGAAAGTGAGTGAAACTACACAATGTTCATAGCTTATCTGAAGGTGAGTGAAGCTAGACCATGGTCGTGGCCGATCTGAAGGTGAGTGAAACTACACAATGTTCATAGCTGATCTGAAGGTGAATGAAGCTAGACCATGGTCACTGCTGATCTGAAGGTGAGTGAAACTACACAATGTTCATAGCTGATCTGAAGGTGAATGAAGCTAGACCATGGTCATTGCTGATCTAAGGTGAGTGAAACTAGACCATGGTCATGGCCGATCTGAAGGTGAGTGAAACTAGACCATAGTCATGGCTGATCTGAAGGTGAGTGAAACTAGACCATGGTCATGGCTGATCTGAAGGGGAGTGAAACTAGACCATGGTCATGGCCGATCTGAAGGTGAGTGAAACTAGACAATGGTCATGGCTGATCTGAAGGTGAGTGAAACTAGACCATGGTCCTGGCCGATCTGAAGGTGAGTGAAACTAGACCATGGTCATGGCTGATCTGAAGGTGAGTGAAACTAGACCATAGTCATGGCTGATCTGAAGGTGAGTGAAATGACCATAGTCATGGCCGATCTGAAGGTGAGTGAAATGACCATAGTCATGGCCGATCTGAAGGTGAGTGAAACTAGACAATGGTCATGGCTGATCTGAAGGTGAGTGAAACTAGACCATGGTCATGGCTGATCTGAAGGTGAGTGTAGCTAGATCATAGTCATGGCTGATCTGAAGGTGAGTGAAACTAGACCATAGTTATGGCAGATCTGAAGGTGAGTGAAACTAGACCATGGTCATGGCAGACCTGAAGGTGAGTGAAACTAGACAATGGTCATAGCAGATCTGAAGGTGAGTGAAACTAGACCATGGTCATAGCTTATCTGAAGGTGAGTGAAACTAGACCATAGTCATAGCCGATCTAAAGGTGAGTGAAACTAGACCATGGTCATGGCTGATCTGAAGGTGAGTTAAACTAGACCATGGTCATGGCTGATCTGAAGGTGAGTGTAGCTAGATCATAGTCATGGCAGATCTGAAGGTGAGTGAAACTAGACCATAGTTATGGCAGATCTGAAGGTGAGTGAAACTAGACCATGGTCACGGCAGACCTGAAGGTGAGTGAAACTAGACAATGGTCATAGCAGATCTGAAGGTGAGTGAAACTAGACCATGGTCATGGCTGATCTGAAGGTGAGTGAAGCTAGACCATGGTCATGGCTGATCTGAAGGTGAGTGAAGCTAGACCATGGTCATGGCTGATCTGAAGGTGAGTGAAACTACACAATGTTCATAGCTGATCTGAAGGTGAATGAAGCTAGACCATGGTCACTGCTGATCTGAAGGTGAGTGAAACTACACAATGTTCATAGCTGATCTGAAGGTGAATGAAGCTAGACCATGGTCATTGCTGATCTAAGGTGAGTGAAACTAGACCATGGTCATGGCCGATCTGAAGGTGAGTGAAACTAGACCATAGTCATGGCTGATCTGAAGGTGAGTGAAACTAGACCATGGTCATGGCTGATCTGAAGGGGAGTGAAACTAGACCATGGTCATGGCCGATCTGAAGGTGAGTGAAACTAGACAATGGTCATGGCTGATCTGAAGGTGAGTGAAACTAGACCATGGTCCTGGCCGATCTGAAGGTGAGTGAAACTAGACCATGGTCATGGCTGATCTGAAGGTGAGTGAAACTAGACCATAGTCATGGCTGATCTGAAGGTGAGTGAAATGACCATAGTCATGGCCGATCTGAAGGTGAGTGAAACTAGACAATGGTCATGGCTGATCTGAAGGTGAGTGAAACTAGACCATGGTCATGGCTGATCTGAAGGTGAGTGTAGCTAGATCATAGTCATGGCTGATCTGAAGGTGAGTGAAACTAGACCATAGTTATGGCAGATCTGAAGGTGAGTGAAACTAGACCATGGTCATGGCAGACCTGAAGGTGAGTGAAACTAGACAATGGTCATAGCAGATCTGAAGGTGAGTGAAACTAGACCATGGTCATAGCTTATCTGAAGGTGAGTGAAACTAGACCATAGTCATAGCCGATCTGAAGGTGAGTGAAACTAGACCATGGTCATGGCTGATCTGAAGGTGAGTTAAACTAGACCATGGTCATGGCTGATCTGAAGGTGAGTGTAGCTAGATCATAGTCATGGCAGATCTGAAGGTGAGTGAAACTAGACCATAGTTATGGCAGATCTGAAGGTGAGTGAAACTAGACCATGGTCATGGCAGACCTGAAGGTGAGTGAAACTAGACAATGGTCATAGCAGATCTAAAGGTGAGTGAAACTAGACCATGGTCATGGCTGATCTGAAGGTGATTGAAACTAGACCATAGTCATGGCAGATCTGAGGGTAAGTGAAACTAGACTATGGTCATGGCCGATCTGAAGGTGAGTGAAACTAGACCATGGTCATGGCCGATCTGAAGGTGAGTGAAACTAGACAATGGTCATAGCTGATCTGAAGGTGAGTGAAGCTAGACCATGGTCATGGCTGATCTGAAGGTGAGTGAAACTAGACCATGGTCATGGCTGATCTGAAGGTGAGTGAAACTAGACAATGGTCATAGCTTATCTGAAGCTGAGTGAAACTAGACCATGGTCATGGCCGATCTGAAGGTGAGTGAAGCTAGACCATGGTCATGGCTTATCTGAAGGTGAGTGAAGCTAGACCATGGTCATGGCTGATCTAAAGGTGAGTGAAGCTAGACCATGGTCAAAGCTTATCTGAAGGTGAGTGAAACTAGACCATGGTCATGGCTGATCTGAGGGTGAGTGAAACTAGACCATGGTCATGGCTGATCTGAAGGTGAGTGAAGCTAGACCATGGTCATGGCTGATCTGAAGGTGAGTGAAGCTAGACCATGGTCATGGCTGATCTGAAGGTGAGTGAAACTACACAATGTTCATAGCTGATCTGAAGGTGAATGAAGCTAGACCATGGTCACTGCTGATCTGAAGGTGAGTGAAACTACACAATGTTCATAGCTGATCTGAAGGTGAATGAAGCTAGACCATGGTCATTGCTGATCTAAGGTGAGTGAAACTAGACCATGGTCATGGCCGATCTGAAGGTGAGTGAAACTAGACCATAGTCATGGCTGATCTGAAGGTGAGTGAAACTAGACCATGGTCATGGCTGATCTGAAGGGGAGTGAAACTAGACCATGGTCATGGCCGATCTGAAGGTGAGTGAAACTAGACAATGGTCATGGCTGATCTGAAGGTGAGTGAAACTAGACCATGGTCCTGGCCGATCTGAAGGTGAGTGAAACTAGACCATGGTCATGGCTGATCTGAAGGTGAGTGAAACTAGACCATAGTCATGGCTGATCTGAAGGTGAGTGAAATGACCATAGTCATGGCCGATCTGAAGGTGAGTGAAACTAGACAATGGTCATGGCTGATCTGAAGGTGAGTGAAACTAGACCATGGTCATGGCTGATCTGAAGGTGAGTGTAGCTAGATCATAGTCATGGCTGATCTGAAGGTGAGTGAAACTAGACCATAGTTATGGCAGATCTGAAGGTGAGTGAAACTAGACCATGGTCATGGCAGACCTGAAGGTGAGTGAAACTAGACAATGGTCATAGCAGATCTGAAGGTGAGTGAAACTAGACCATGGTCATAGCTTATCTGAAGGTGAGTGAAACTAGACCATAGTCATAGCCGATCTGAAGGTGAGTGAAACTAGACCATGGTCATGGCTGATCTGAAGGTGAGTTAAACTAGACCATGCTCATGGCTGATCTGAAGGTGAGTGTAGCTAGATCATAGTCATGGCAGATCTGAAGGTGAGTGAAACTAGACCATAGTTATGGCAGATCTGAAGGTGAGTGAAACTAGACCATGGTCATGGCAGACCTGAAGGTGAGTGAAACTAGACAATGGTCATAGCAGATCTGAAGGTGAGTGAAACTAGACCATGGTCATGGCTGATCTGAGGGTAAGTGAAACTAGACTATGGTCATGGCCGATCAGAAGGTGAGTGAAACTAGACCACAGTCATGGCTGATCTGAAGGTGAGTGAAACTAGACCATAGTCATGGCAGATCTGAGGGTGAGTGAAACTAGAACATAGTCATGGCCGATCTGAAGGTGAGTGAAACTAGACCATAGTCATGGCCGATCTGAAGATGAGTGAAACTATACCATAGTCATGGCCGATCTGAAGGTGAGTGAAGCTGGATCATAGTCATGGCCGATCTGAAGGTGAGTGAAGCTGGATTGAAGTCATGGCCGACCTGAAGGTGAGTAAAGCTGGATCATAGTCATGGCCGACCTGAAGGTCATGGCAGGTCATGGCCTATCTGAAAGTGAGTCAAGCTGACCTATCATTGTGAAGGTTAGTATAACCTAACCATTGTGGAACACCTTCACGAAGGAAATAACAAAAGCAAGTAGAAAGACAGATGGGAGAGGGAGAGAAAGAGAGAAAGAGAGAGAGAGAGGGAGAGAGAGAGAGGGAGAGAGAGAGAGAGAGAGAGAGAGAGAGAGAGAGAGAGAGAGAGAGAGAGAGAGAGAGAGAGAGAGAGAGAGAGAGAGAGAGAGAGAGAGAGAATAACAGGGAGAAAGGAACAAACATGATACTAACCTGAATAAGGTCCAGAATGCCCAACTCACTTTCAGACGAGTCTACACAAAACACAAAGTACAAGGTGGCGTAGTGCCGGTATATCAGCCTGTAGTCTGATCCACCAATCAACCTGCCGTTCAACATTTATTGACAGTTGATTACCTCCAAACAAATGTATACCTTTAAACACCTGTTTACCCCCAAACAACTATTTACCTCCAAACAACCGATAACCTCCTAACAACTGTTTGTCTCCAAATAACTGTTTATCTCCAAACAACTATTAACCTCCAAACAACTGTTAATCTCCAAACTACTGTTAACCTCCAAACAACAGTTTACCTTCAAACAACTGTTAACCTGCTACAGTTGAGTTTGTTAACCTGCTACAGTTGAGTTTTTAAGCTGCTACAGTTGAGTTTGTTAAGCTGCTACAGTTGAGTTTGTTAACCTGCTACAGTTGAGTTTGTTAAGCTGCTACAGTTGAGTTTGTTAACCTCCTACAGTTGAGTTTGTTAAGCTGCTACAGTTGAGTTTGTTAAGCTGCTACAGTTGAGTTTGTTAAGCTCCTACAGTTCAGTTTGTTAACCTCCTACAGTTGAGTTTGTTAACCTCCTACAGTTGAGTTTGTTAACCTCCTACAGTTGAGTTTGTTAACCTCCTACAGTTCAGTTTGTTAAGCTGCTACAGTTGAGTTTGTTAAGCTACTACAGTTGAGTTTGTTAAGCTCCTACAGTTCAGTTTGTTAACCTCCTACAGTTCAGTTTGTTAAGCTCATACAGTTCAGTTTGTTAACCTCCTACAGTTCAGTTTGTTAAGCTGCTACAGTTGAGTTTGTTAAGCTACTACAGTTGAGTTTGTTAAGCTGCTACAGTTGAGTTTGTTAAGCTGCTACAGTTGAGTTTGTTAAGCTGCTACAGTTGAGTTTGTTAAGCTCCTACAGTTGAGTTTGTTAAGCTCCTACAGTTGAGTTTGTTAAGCTCCTACAGTTGAGTTTGTTAAGCTCCTACAGTTGAGTTTGTTAAGCTCCTACAGTTGAGTTTGTTAAGCTGCTACAGTTGAGTTTGTTAAGCTCCTACAGTTCAGTTTGTTAAGCTGCTACAGTTGAGTTTGTTAAGCTGCTACAGTTGAGTTTGTTAACCTCCTACAGTTGAGTTTGTTAACCTCCTACAGTTGAGTTTGTTAAGCTGCTACAGTTGAGTTTGTTAAGCTGCTACAGTTCAGTTTGTTAAGCTGCTACAGTTGAGTTTGTTAAGCTGCTAAAGTTGAGTTTGTTAACCTCCTACAGTTGAGTTTGTTAACCTCCTACAGTTGAGTTTGTTAACCTCCTACAGTTGAGTTTGTTAAGCTGCTACAGTTGAGTTTGTTAAGCTGCTACAGTTGAGTTTGTTAAGCTGCTACAGTTGAGTTTGTTAAGCTGCTACAGTTGAGTTTGTTAAGCTGCTACAGTTGAGTTTGTTAAGCTGCTACAGTTGAGTTTGTTAAGCTGCTACAGTTGAGTTAAGCTGCTACAGTTGAGTTTGTTAAGCTGCTACAGTTGAGTTTGTTAAGCTGCTACAGTTGAGTTTGTTAAGCTGCTACAGTTGAGTTTGTTAAGCTGCTACAGTTGAGTTTGTTAACCTCCTACAGTTGAGTTTGTTAAGCTCCTACAGTTCAGTTTGTTAAGCTGCTACAGTTGAGTTTGTTAAGCTGCTACAGTTGAGTTTGTTAACCTGCTACAGTTGAGTTTGTTAAACTGCTACAGTTGAGTTTGTTAACCTCCTACAGTTGAGTTTGTTAACCTCCTACAGTTGAGTTTGTTAAGCTGCTACAGTTGATTTTGTTAAGCTCCTACAGTTGAGTTTGTTAAGCTGCTACAGTTGAGTTTGTTAAGCTGCTACAGTTGAGTTTGTTAAGCTGCTACAGTTGGGTTTGTTAAGCTGCTACAGTTGAGTTTGTTAAGCTGCTACAGTTGGGTTTGTTAAGCTCATACAGTTCAGTTTGTTAACCTCCTACAGTTGAGTTTGTTAACCTCCTACAGTTTAGTTTGTTAACCTCCTACAGTTCAGTTTGTTAAGCTGCTACAGTTGAGTTTGTTAACCTGCTACAGTTGAGTTTGTTAACCTCCTAAAGTTAAGTTTGTTAAGCTCCTACAGTTGAGTTTGTTAAGCTGCTACAGTTGAGTTTGTTAAGCTGCTACAGTTGAGTGTTCTTCTATGAATGAAGTAGCCACAGCTCTAGCAAAGCCTCAGAGGATTTCAATGTTCACAGAAGAAATGGCTCTACAAACTGTATATTTAATGAGAAAGACTGAAATGGTTTGGCCACCTAGTGAGAATGAAGCCAATGATGCTAGCAGCAAGAGCTTCCAACATGAAAATGTCAACACTAAAGGGCAAGAGGAGATCTAGAAGAAACAATGAACAAACAAACTTTATTATCAAAGGGTTACAAATTAGGCACGCAGGCCCGTCTGACATTCAGCCCTTCTCAGCACTCCTTTTTCAGAGTACCAATGCCTGTTATCAATAATGCATGTTATGTTTATAATTAAAAAAACATACATTATATAATAATGCAAACACACACACACACACACACACACACACACACACATCATTGACACTTTCACAGTATAATAAACATTCAGACTTAACACTATCACAGTATGATAAACAATTAGACTTGACACTATCACAGTATAATAAACAATTAGACTTGACACTATCACAGTATAATAAACAATTAGACTTGACACAATCACAGTATAATAAACAATTAGACTTGACACTATCAGAGTATAATAAACAATTAGACTTGACACTATCAGAGTATAATAAACAATTAGACTTGACACTATCACAGTATAATAAACAATTAGACTTGACACTATCACAGTATAATAAACAATTAGACTTGACACTATCAGAGTATAATAAACAATTAGACTTGACACTATCAGAGTATAATAAACAATTAGACTTGACACTATCACAGTATAATAAACAATTAGACTTGTCACTATCACAGTATAATAAACAATTAGACTTGTCACTATCACAGTATAATAAACAATTAGACCTGTCACTATCACAGTATAATAAACAATTAGACTTGACACTATCACAGTATAATAAACAATTAGACTTGACACTATCAGAGTATAATAAAAAATTAGACTTGACACTATCAGAGTATAATAAACAATTAGACTTGACACTATCACAGTATAATAAACAATTAGACTTGACACTATCACAGTATAATAAACAATTAGACTTGACACAATCACACTAAAATAAACAATTAGACTTGACACTATCAGAGTATAATAAACAATTAGACTTGTCACTATCACAGTATAATAAACAATTAGACTTGACACAATCACACTAAAATAAACAATTAGACTTGACACTATCACAGTATAATAAACAATTAGACTTGTCACTATCACAGTATAATAAACAATTAGACTTGACACTATCACAGTATAATAAACAATTAGACTTGTCACTATCACAGTATAATAAACAATTAGACTTGACACAATCACACTAAAATAAACAATTAGACTTGACACTATCAGAGTATAATAAACAATTAGACTTGTCACTATCACAGTATAATAAACAATTAGACTTGACACTATCACAGTATAATAAACAATTAGACTTGACACTATCAGAGTATAATAAACAATTAGACTTGACACTATCACAGTATAATAAACAATTAGACTTGTCACTATCACAGTATAATAAACAATTAGACTTGTCACTATCAGAGTATAATAAACAATTAGACTTGACACTATCACAGTATAATAAACAATTAGACTTGACACTATCAGAGTATAATAAAAAATTAGACTTGACACTATCAGAGTATAATAAACAATTAGACTTGTCACTATCAGAGTATAATAAAAAATTAGACTTGTCACTATCAGAGTATAATAAAAAATTAGACTTGACACTATCAGAGTATAATAAACAATTAGACTTGACACTATCACAGTATAATAAACAATTAGACTTGTCACTATCACAGTATAATAAACAATTAGACTTGTCACTATCACAGTATAATAAACAATTAGACTTGTCACTATCACAGTATAATAAACAATTAGACTTGACACTATCACAGTATAATAAACAATTAGACTTGACACTATCAGAGTATAATAAAAAATTAGACTTGACACTATCAGAGTATAATAAACAATTAGACTTGACACTATCACAGTATAATAAACAATTAGACTTGACACTATCACAGTATAATAAACAATTAGACTTGACACAATCACACTAAAATAAACAATTAGACTTGACACTATCAGAGTATAATAAACAATTAGACTTGTCACTATCACAGTATAATAAACAATTAGACTTGACACAATCACACTAAAATAAACAATTAGACTTGACACTATCACAGTATAATAAACAATTAGACTTGTCACTATCACAGTATAATAAACAATTAGACTTGACACTATCACAGTATAATAAACAATTAGACTTGTCACTATCACAGTATAATAAACAATTAGATTTGTCACTAGCACACAAAAATAAACAATCTAGCCTGTCCCGGTTCCGCTACCTATTATCTGTTAAACTGTGAGGCACCTACAAGCAACCATTTAAGTGTCCATTGTTGGTTTATGTTAAATATACACTTTCAAGAATACAGCTAAAATCATAAATACTGCACTGAGAAAATCAGACAAGGTACCCAATAAAAGTAATGGTGTAGGCATGTAGACATGCATACTGAGACATGTAGACATAAGTATCAGTGTAGAAATTTAGACAGAAGTACCGGTGTAGTCGTGTAGACACAAGCACTGGTGTAGTCGTGTAGACACAAGCACTGGTGTAGTCCTGTAGACACAAGTACTGGTATAGACATAAGCACTGGTGTAGACATGTAGGGTGAAGTACTAGTGTAGACCCAAGTGCTGTGGCAGTCATGGTGACACAAGTACTGATGTAATAGTGTTGACACAAGTATAATCATGCAGTCACAAGAGCTGGTGCAGGCATGCAAACATTAGTACTGGTGTAGACATGTGGGCACAAGAACTTGTGTAGACATGTAGACATAAATAATGGTGTAGATGTGTAGACATAAGTACTGGTGTAGCCATGTGGATACAAGCACTGGTGTAGACATACAGACATAGGAATTGGTTAGATATGTAGCACAGAAGTACTGCTGTAGACATGTGAACACAAGTACTGATGTAGACATGCAGACATAAGTACTAGTGTAGACATGTAGACATAAGTACTGGTGTAGACATGTAAAAACAAATAATGTTGTAAATAATGGGATATCACAGGAAAATATGATAAGCACTTGTGTAGACAAGTAGACATAAGCACTTGTGTAGACAAGTAGACATAAGTACTGGTGTAGACAAGTAGACATAAGCACTTGTGCAGACAAGTAGACACAAGTACTGGTGTAGACAGAAGTACTGGCATAGTCATGCAGTCAGAAGTACTGGTGTAGACATAGATACTAGTGTAGTCATGTAGACACAAGTACTGGTGTAGACATGAAGAAACTTGTTCTGGTGTAGTCATGGGAAACCAGTGCTGGTGTAGTCATGTAGGCACTAGCACTGATGTAGACATGTAGACACAAGTACTGGTGTAGACAAGTAGACATAAGTACTGGTTTAAGCATGAAGAAACATGTTCTGGTGTAGGCATGGGGAAACCAGTGCTGGTGTAGTCATGAAGGCACAAGTACTAGTGTGGACATAACCAGCACTGGTGTAGACATGTAGACACACATAATGGTGTAGACACAAGTGCTGGTGTAGGTATAGGGAAACTAGGGCTGGTGTAGTCATGTAGACACAAGTAATGTAGTAGGTAGTTAGACATAAATATTGGTGCAACTTACGTTCCTCCCTCCAGAAAGTTACAAACACTGTCATCTCTCTTGGAGACCAGGTGAAATGTTTCTCTGATGATCTGATGCTGGACATCTTCTGGCTGGTGAGGCACAAGAGCAGGCAAGTCAAATATTGCTGTCATAGCAACATCTACAGTCTTGTCTAGAACAACATCTACAATCTTGTTTACAACAACATCTACAATCTTGTCTAAAACAACAGCTACCATTTTTTCTATAACATTTTCAACCTTGTCTATACAACATCTCTAACCTTCGATATAACAGAACCTACAACCATTTATATCATCATCTAAAACATTGTCTACGCAACACCTTCAGCCTACTCTACAACAGCATCCACAACCCTCTCAATAAAAAGATCTTAGAATCTTATTTATAACAACATCTGCAACCCTCTCTATAACATCTATAACTGTCTCTATACAACATCGGCAACCATCTCTATAACATCATCTATAACTTTCTCTATACAACATCGGCAACCATCTCTATAATAACATCTTCATTCCTGTCTACACCACATCTACTAACTTGTCTAAATCACATGAACAACCTTGTCTATACAACATCTACAACCTTGTCAATAAAACATCTCCAACATTTTCTATAATATTTAACAAACTTGGGTATACAACATCTAGAACCTTGTCTATTCAGCATTTCCAACATTTTCTATAACAACATTTACAACCTTGTCTATACAGCATTTACATCACTGTCTATACATCCACAATCTTGTCTATAACAACATCCATAACCTTGATTACATCAACAACCTTGTCTATAACAACATCCATAACCTTGATTACATCCACAATCTTGTCTATAACAACATCCATAACCTTGATTACATCTACAACCTTGTCTATAAAAACATGTACATCCTAGTCTATTACAACATCTACAGCCATGTTAATATAACATCTAAAATCTGGTCTCTACAACATCCCCAACCTTGTATATTTAACAACTGTGTCTATACAGCCGCCATGGTCCAGCAGCCGCCATGGTCCAGCAGCCGCCATGGTCCAGCAGCCGCCATGGTCTAGCAGCCACCATGGTCTAGCAGATAGCAGCTACCATGGTCTAGCAGCCGCCATGGTCCAGTAGCTACAACCATGTCTATAATAATATCTACATCTATATCTAAAACCTTGTCTAAAATAACATCTAGTCTAAAACAACATCTACAAAATTTAAATAATGCAGACACAAACAATACATTGCACAATTTACTGCCAGGCATATTTCACTGATTCTCATCAGATATTACAACCTTTTCAATATAAACACCGATAACCTTGTCTATAACAACATCTACATCCATGTCTGTAATAATATCTACAACCTTGTCTACAACAACATCTACACAATTGTCTATAACAAATACTTCAACTCTGTCTATAACAATATCTACAACCTTGTCTATAACATTTTCCACAACTCTGCCAATAACAACATCTACAATCCTGTCTACAACAACATCTATATTCACATCTATGACAACATCTACAACCCTTTATGCAACAACATCTGTAATCATGTCTATAATACCAATCTACAACCTTAAATTTTACAACATCTACGTCCCTGTCTACAGCAACATCAACAAACATGTTTATAACAACAATCTACGACCTTGCCTTTAACAACATCTACAACCATGTCCACAACATCAATTTACAACCATGTCTACAACATCGAGAACCTTGTTTATAACATCTACAACCTTGTCTATAAGATTAACTACAATCGTGTCTACAAAATCTTGTGGAAAAAATACTTAAACTGAATCACTGGAATGTTGAATCACTGGGACGTTGAATGACTGAGATGTTGAATGACTAGGACGTTGAATCACTGGGACGTTGAATGACTGGGACGTTGAATCACTGGGACGTTAAATGACTGGGATGTTGAATGACTGGAGTGTTCAATGACTGAGACGTTGAATGACTGGGATGTTGAATGACTGAGACGTTGAATGACTGGGATGTTGAATGACTGGAGTGTTCAATGACTTTAGTGTTCAAAGACTAGAGTGTTTAATGACTGGGACGTTAATGACTGGAGTGTTCAATGACTGGGACGTTGAATGACTGGGATGTTCAATGACTGGGACGTTGAATCACTGGGACGTTAAATGACTGGGACGTTGAATGACTAGAGTGTTCAATGACTGGGACGTTGAATGACTGGGATGTTCAATGACTGGGATGTTGAATGACTGGGATGTTGAATGACTAGGATGTTGAATCACTGGGATGTTGAATGACTGGGATGTTGAATGACTGGAATGTTCAATGACTGGGATGTTGAATGCCTGGGATGTTGAATGACTGGGATGTTGAATGACTGGAATGTTAAATGACTGGGATGTTGAATGACTGGGAAGTTGAATGACTGGGACGTTGAATGAATGGGACGTTGAATGAATGGGATGTTCAATGACTGGGATGTTGAATGACTGGAACATTGAATGACTGGGACGTTGAATGACTGGGATGTTGAATGACTGGGACGTTGAATGACTGGGACGTTGAATGACTGGGACGTTGAATGACTGGGACGTCTAATGACTGGGATGTTCAATGACTGGGATGTTCAATGACTGTGGTGTTCAATGACTGGGATGTTCAATGACTAGGATGTTCAATGACTGGGACATCTAATGACTGGGATGTTGAATGACTGGACGTCTAATGACTGGGATATTCAATGACTGGGATATTCAATGCCTGGGACGTTCAATGACTGGGATGTTGAATGACTGGGATGTTCAATGACTATGATGTTGAATGACTGGGACGTTCAATGACTGGGATGTTGAATGACTGGGATATTTAATGACTGGGACGTTCAATGACTGGGATGTTGAATGACTGGGATGTTGAATGACTGGGACGTTGAATGACTGGGATGTTCAATGACTGGGGTGTTGAATGACTGGGGTGTTGAATGACTGGGATGTTGAATGACTGGAGTGTTGAATGACTGGGATGTTGAATGACTGGGATGTTGAATGACTGGGATGTTGAATGACTGGGACGTTGAATGACTGGGACGTTGAATGACCGGGACGTTGAATGACTGGGACGTTAAATGACTGGGATGTTGAATGATTGGGACGTTCAATGCCTGGGACGTTGAATGACTGGGATGTTGAATGACTGGGATGTTGAATGACTGGGACGTTGAATGAATGGGACGTTGAATGACTGGGACGTTGAATGACTAGGATGTTGAATGACTAGAATGTTGAATGACTAAAATGTTGAATGACTGGGATGTTGAATGACTGGGACGTTGAATCACTGGGACATTGAATACCTGGGATGTTGAATGACTAGGATGTTAAATGATTAGGATGTTGAATGACTGGGATGTTAAATCACTGGTACGTTAAATGACTGGGATGTTGAATGACTGGGATGTTGAGTGACTGTTTAATGACTAGGAAGCTGAATGACTGCTCAAGGTTGCTGCAAAGGAAGTCATGTCTCAGAGAAGCTGCAGCCACAGATCACCCTTTGCATGAAGAGCAGGATGTTAAGGGTCAGCAGGTAAAAAAAGGGAAGTCATGGATGGCTCAGTGTTGTGTGCTGAACTCACTTTGCTGTTCAGTTGTACAAGAGGTCAGAGGCATGATCTCCCACACCAGTAGTAAAGGCACTAGATGATGATGGTGGCAGGGACAAGTGCAAAAAGTTCACGTTACTTGACATATGAGAAAGGGATTTCTTGTGATTAAAGGCTAACAGCGGTCTCCAGAGGTATTGCAAGACCCAAGCATTGTTGGCCGCTGAGTTGAAGGTTATCCAGTGTCCAGTCAGAGCCTCTTGATCAGTATTATTGTGCAGACATGTTTGTGCATCAGTTGTTCCAGTACGGTCTGTTGTAACTAGGTGTTTCTATTCTGTTGGAACTCATGTGAATTGTCTAATGGTTTTGGTGAATCGTGAGAGAGACTTTGGAATTCTGTCTGTGAAATCTCCAGAATGGACAGTTGTGTGGCCCACATGTTTTTGGGGTCAATAGTGTTGCGGCTATGGGACACATGGTTGACAAGGGTATCTGTAAGGGCACCGAAGGTGCCGGGAACTTTGTGTGTAGCAAGTAGTTGTGATGAGGGCAAAGTATTGGAGGCTAATTGCCGGGATGGTAGTCAGCGATACTTTGGTGGGTGACTTGGATGGCAGGCTTGAGGCACCCACTCACTTTCTCTCTCACACACACATACACCCATGCACACACTAACTCTCTCTCACACACATATATACCCATGCACACACTAACACACTTGTATGCATATATATACACACTTACATACATACATACAGACAGACAGACAGACAGACACACAAATTCAGTCGTACCTCATACATATATACATACACATGCAGACACGCACAGACAAAAATACTCAGACATACACACACACAAATGCACAGTCACACACAGATGCAGTCACACACACACAGACACACACATTGAAGACACACATACAGACACACTCACACACAGATATACACACAGAGACACACACATAGACCTAAACACAGGCACACATGCGCGCTCGCACGCACACACATACATACATGCAAACACATGCACACAAACACACAGACAAATAACCAGACAAGCAAAGACAGATATACACACCTCACGCAAAGCCTACAATGATAACAATGTCAGCTGGTACAAAAAGAATAAACATTAGTGAAAAAAAAGATGATATTCTTCAGTGTTAGTCAGGTCTAGTGTGATTCCCTTATTTGTTTGGAACAGGCTATAAAAATGACGGGCAAACTGAGTGTTGTAAAAATACTTTTTTCGGGGATGAAAATATAATATTTTTTTTTTAACTCTTTGAATCCCAGGAAACGCATCATGTGCTAATTTATTTCAACTGAGTGGCTCAATCAACACGTGACAAGTGAAGGTTTTTAATCTACCACTGACCGGTTGTAAAACGCGGACCACTCAGTTTAAACTTCCTTTTGAGTTCTTTGTGTCTGATATCAGGCGTGCTCATTTAAAAATGTGATTTGAAAGTTGAAAATTTAGTATATTTGCGAGATTTGCCGAGTTAATAAGTGTTTGTTTGAAAAGAATATGGCCAACAAGCAATATTTTACATGCATGCCAACATGATTTACGGCTTTAGAAGCCTCAAATTTAAATAAAATAGGTGTTTATTTGATTTATCCAAAGTTAGATAGATAACGTTGCGAATTAGACATGTTTCAGTCATTTCTAGAGTCAAACTTTGATGAGGGATATGTCTAATGTGTACAACGTCAACGATAGCAAAGTCAGCCTGCACAAATAGAATAAACATTAGTGAAAAGACATTTTCTTCAGTGTCAGTCAGTTCTAGTGCAATTCCCCTTATTTTTTAGGAACAAAGCTACAAAATTACAGGCAAATTGGGTGTTATATAAACTTTGTTTTGTGTGAAGATACTTATTGTTTTGAGAGCCAGTTTTCTTTACCAAATAAGGGTGCTTTTTTATGATGCTTTAAAAGATTCTTTGGAACAAAATCTAACATATAGATTGAGTTTTTATTTTACTTATACATAACTTAGTGGTTTATTTTCATTTGTGATTCATTTTTGATATATTTTAACCAGTTTTCCTTGAGTGCCATGGTAGTAAGTGGAAATTTTAAAATTTCATTTTACTAATTTTTGTAAACATACCGTCTGTTTATTTACTAATATTTAATTACTAACACAATTATTTGTTGTAACTATTTTCTATATTTATTCCTCAACAATCCCTGGTCACTTTGATGTATAATATGTGTATGTTGCGCGGCAATTGAATTAGTATGGTCTGTTTTAATGTGCTACACTTGTGAAATTTATTATTTGCATTACTACTACTCGGGCCTCTCATGCTAAACCACCCTAGGACTCAAAGAGTTAAGTTCGGCTCACAGGTCTTGGCATTACGATGACCATGTCACCAGCAACGGTGCAATACATGGGTGCTGACTGAGCCAGGTATCCAGTGACATCCATCCCCTCTAGCTTCTGTTACAGCAACGGTGCAATACATGGGTGCTGACTGACCCAGGTATCCAGCGACATCCCGCCACTCTAGCTACTGTTACAGCAACGGTGCAATACATGGGCGTTGACTGACCCAGGTATCCAGTGACATCCCGTCACTCTAGATACTGGCACAGCAATGGTGTAATACATGGATGTTGACTGACCCAGGTATCCAGCGACATCCATCCACTCTAGATACTGGCACAGCAATAGTGCAATTCATGGGTGTTGACTGACCCAGGTATCCAGCGACATCCCGCCACTCTAGATACTGGTACAGCAATGGTGTAATACACTGGTGCTGACTGACCCAGGTATCCAGCGACATCCCTCCACTCTAGATACTGGCACAGCAATGGTGTAATACATGGGTGCTGACTGACCCAGGTATCCAGCGACATCCTTCCACTCTAGCTACTGTTACAGCAATGGTGTAATACATGGGTGCTGACTGACCCAGGTATCCAGCGACATCCCTCCACTCTAGCTACTGGCACAGCAACAGTGCAATACATGGGTGTTAACTGACCCAGGTATCCAGCGACATCCCTCCACTCTAGCTACTGTTACAGCAATGGTGTAATACATGGGTGCTGACTGAGCCAGGTATCCAGCGACATCCCTCTAGCTACTGTTACAGCAACAGTGCAATACATGGATGTTGACTGAGCCAGGTATCCAGCGACATCCCTCTACTCTAGCTACTGTTACAGCAACAGTGCAATACATGGGTGTTGACTGAGCCAGGCATCCAGCGACATCCCTCTACTCTAGCTACTGTTACAGCAACAGTGCAATACATGGGTGTTGACTGAGCCAGGTATCCAGCGACATCCCTTCACTCTAGCTACTGTTACAGCAACAGTGCAATGCATGGGTGTTGACTGAGCCAGGTATCCAGCGACATCCCTCCACTTAAGCTACTGTTACAGCAACAGTGAAATACATGGGTGTTGACTGAGCCAGGTATCTAGCGACATCCCTCCACTTTAGTTACTGGCACAGCAATAGTGCAATACATGGGTGCTGACTGAGCCAGGTATCCAGCGACATCCCTCTACTCTAGCTACTGGCACAGCAATAGTGCAATACATAAATGCTGACTGAGCCAGGTATCCAGCGACATCCCTCTACTCTAGCTACTGGCACAGCAATAGTGCAATACATAAATGTTGACTGACCCAGGTATCCAGCGACATCCCTCTACTCTAGCTACTGGCACAGCAATGGTGTAATACATGGGTGCTGACTGATCCAGTCATCCACTTCCACTCTTGTCTCTAGCGACACTTAAAGTTAAAGCGGCATAGCAAGGGGCGGGGTACAGCCGGAGAAGCCTGCAGACATACAACAGTCTTGATACTTACGAAATGCTGGTAGAATTTGGTCAGTCGAGGTTTGCCGTGGTTGTTGAAGACGAGTATAGCCTTTATCATTGTCGCTGATGTACAGCTAGACGGGGAGGATGTGTCGATAGGAGAACAACGGCAGGAACATCTCATTAGAGCTGCTTCTGTTTGGCTGTGGCAGACGCCATGATATTTCCGGTTTAATAGTCAGGTTAAAAAATCGCAACCGGGAAATAAACAGACCAAACAATGATAAAGATAAATACAAACAAAACTAATGCAATGCATGTTAGCAGAATTTCTGGCCCACTACACATACAGCCGAATGGTTCCAATCTGAATCAAATGGTTTATGATGATGCAACAATGTCTACAGACTCACACTTGTCCTCTTGTAGACCTGTGACAGAAGCCAAATACCAGTGCTTATTTATTATTTCCTCCCTTAAATTAAAGTACAATCGTACCTAACATTCGTGCTGGACTTCTCATGGTAACCATAGACGCCGGCGCCTAAGGATTTCATTTCCTTGAGGCTCTCAAAAATATTTTACAGGTGCCTACAGACATTCATGTCTCTTCTCTTTCACACATTTGTATGCTTGGTCAGTCTTTTTTGCAGCTGCATCACAAACTATCTCTACTGACTGTTTCCATGAGAAGATTATGCTATCTCATATTGTCACTTCGAAGACGGTAAAGACGGGTTTTAATACCAGGTCACATATTCGGGTTATCATTAGAGGCTTTTCTAGGCAGTATAGCACTGATGATTTCAGATCTATCCATTTACAATCTCAGATCTATCCCCTGATTATTTCAGATCTATCCATTTACAATCTCAGATCTATCCCCTGATGATCTCAGATCTATCCGTTAATTATTTCATAGCCTTCTGTTGAAAGACGCGTGTTTGAGCACCGGTGTACCTTTGGAAATGGATGCTGAAAGTAAGATGAGATAAGGAGAGTGAGACATCGTGCTAAAAGTGAGGGGAGATAGAGGGAGTGAGCCATCGTGCTAAAAGAGGGGAGATAAGGAGAGTGAGACATCGGTGTTGAAAGTGAGGGGAGATACGCAGAATGGGACATCAGTGCTGAAAGTGAGGGGAGATAAGGAGAGTGAGACATCAGTGCTGAAAGTGAGGGGAGATAAGGAGAGTGAGACATCGGTGTTGAAAGTGAGGAGAGATAAAGAGAGTGAGACATCAGTGCTGAAAGTGAGGGGAAATAAGGAGAGTGCGACATCAGTGTTGAAAGTGAGGGGAGATAAGGAGAGTGAGACATCGGTGTTGAAATTTAGGAGAGATAAAGAACATAAGACATCTGTGCTGAAAGTGAGGAGAGATAAAGAGAGAGAGACATCAGTGTTGAAAGTGAGGGGAGATAAGGAGAGAGAGACATCGGTGTTGAAAGTGAGGGGAGAAAAGGAGAGTGGGACATCGGTGTTGAAAGCGGGGGGAGATAAGGAGAGTGGGACATTGGTGTTGAAAGTGAGGGGAGATGAGGAGAGAGAGACATCGGTGTTGAAAGTGAGGGGAGATAAGGAGAGAGACATCAGTGTTGAAAGTGAGGGGAGATAAGGAGAGTGGGACATCGGTGCTGAAAGTGAGGGGAGATAAGAAGAGTGGGACATCAATGCTGAAAGTGAGGGGAGATAAGGAGAGTGAGACATCAGTGTTGAAAGTGAGGGGAGATAAGGAGAGAGAGACATCAGTGTTGAAAGTGAGGGGAGATAAGGAGAGTGAGACATCGGTGCTGAAAGTCAGGGGAGATAAGGAGAGTGAGACATCAGTGCTGAAAGTCACCGGAGATAACGAGAGTGAGACATCAGTGCTGAAAGTGAGGGGAGATAAAGAAAGTGAGACATCAGTGCTGAAAGTGGGGGGAGATAACGAGAGTGAGACATCAGTGCTGAAAGTGAGGAAAGATAAGGAGAGTGAGACATTAGTGCTGAAAGCGAGGAAAGATAAGGAGAGTCAGACATCGGTGCTGAAAGTCAGGGTAGATAAGGAGAGTGAGACATCAGTGCTGTACATCAGAGGAGATAAGGAGAGTGAGACATCAGTGCTGTACATCAGAGGAGATAAGGAGAGTGAGACATGAATTATTAGTGATGGTTTAATTTGCAAGAACTGAGAGATTACCGCCCCACCCCTCCCCCCCCCCCTTCCCACGGACCGGTATGTTCTACAACAGAATGCTACTGGCACCATTAGTATCGGAACTCTTCACATGCTGCTGAAGATTCAGAAAACGTGGTTATGGGAATGCCCTGAGTGCTGTAATGTCGGTTCTTGAATCAACTCAACTTAGCATATTTGTCCGCCCCATTTGTGCTCCGTCCTCCGATACTGCAACCATCTCAGTATCTCCATGCTCAACGTATACAGTAGGAGTTGACTGACAGATTTTCTTTCTTTACCCCTGTAACCGGTACCCGCTTGTCCTCGTTTGCTAAAAATTTACAGCATGCGGTTCCTTGTCTCTGATTCCCTGATCTCAACGTCTCTGATTCCCATATCTCAACGTCTCTGATTCCCATATCTCAACGTTTCTGATTCCCATATCTCAACGTCTCTGATTCCCTGATCTCATCGTCTCTGATTCCCATATCTGAACGTCTTTGATTCCCATATCTCAACGTCTCTTATTCCCTGATCTCATCGTCTCTGATTCCCATATCTCAACGTCTCTGATTTCCATATCTCAAGGTCTCTGATTCCCATATCTTAACGTCTCTGATTCCCATATCTCAACGTCTCTGATTCCCATATCTCAACGTCTCTGATTCCCATATCTCAAAGTCTCCGATTCCCATATCTCAACGTCTCTGATAGATTCCCATATCTCAACGTCTCTTATTCCCATATCTCAATGTCTCTGATTCCCATATCTCAACATCTCTGATTCCCATATCTCATCGTCCCTAGATCACAGCGCACTCGTTAAGCCTGGCTTGTCCATACTTCTGCAGACATGGCCAGACTATTGGTTCTTTCATATCCTGTCGCTCCAGTGGTTTCATGTGGGAACAACCAAGATGGTTCATTAGGGCGGGACTTCTGTATGCCGAGAAGTCATTCAAGTCGGAGTTTGCCAGTTTTAATCTTCTGCTTGTCGAGTCAATCTACATTTCTGCATTACTATAATGCGGCATTATTTACCAGTTGGTCTCATCGTTCATTACCCCTCCCTACGGCATACGCAGCTGTATATATATATATATATATACAGGTGAAAAAGATTATTTAACCTCCTAGTGCTGTCTACCTTCAGAGGGGTTGCTACATGTTGCGATGTTCTAAAGCATGTCTGTGGAATTTGGCATGATCATCGCATGTGTGACTGTCTATTGCGATGTTCTTCTGAAGCAGTCTGAAATGATTACCGCATGTTTGACAGTCTGTTGCGATGTTCTGAAGCAGTCTGGAACGATCACTGCATGTTTGACTGTCTGTTGCGATGTTCTGAAGCAGCCTGGAACGATCACCGCATGTTTGACTGTCTGTTGCGATGTTCTTCTGAAGCAGTCTGACATGATCACCGCATGTTTGACTGTCTGTTGCGATGTTCTTCTGAAGCAGTCTGACATGATCACCGCATGTTTGACTGTCTGTTGCGATGTTCTGAAGCAGCCTGGAACGATCACCGCATGTTTGACTGTCTGTTGCGATGTTCTGAAGCAGCCTGGAACGATCACCGCATGTTTGACTGTCTGTTGCGATGTTCTGAAGCATGTTCATGGAGTCTGACATGACCACCGTCTGTGTGACTGCCTGTTGTGATGTTCTGAAGCAGTTCCACGTGATCACCACATCTTTGACTGCTTGCTTTGCTGCTAATGCAAGTGATTTTGGGATGCGGGGAAAAAGGGGAAGTGGAGAAGTAAAGATAGAAGGAAGAATGTTTTGCAAGTGCTGTAGCAACTCACACACACACGCGCGCGCTCGGCGCTCACACATTCATTACCACACGTGTCAGGTAAACCATTATGGTCCCACAGGGGAAAACGAGAATTGAAGTACAATTGATGACCTCATTCAGTCGAAAACTGTAGGTGTTAAATGCAACCAGCAAGGTTGTAACAGAAAAAAAAAACGCCGTCGAACCAAAAAATAGACGCGCTTCGTTGCACGTTATTCTTGAAAATTGGGCAGGGGTGGTGTTGGCAAGTAGAGTCAGGAGTGGGGACTGTGTCACCGACGTAACCCCCGCATTCCCAGCAGACCTCTACTCCCTGAAGATAGTGTAAGGTCTTTATGGCCCAGTGCTGATGGCTGCACAGCTAACACATAGCGGACAATAAACGTGCAGGTGACGTCAGAATGGAGGGGAGAAAGAGGCAGCCAGGTGACATTGATAGACCCACGGGCGATATAATGTTCATGATCCGTTGTTTTAATATTTTAGTATCAGGTGTACATTCAAACTCACAGGCGCGCACGCACACACACACACACACACACACACACACACACAGATAGCGGCACTTTTTCCCTAGAGGCTTGCAAATATGAATAATAATTCAAGGATCCTTGGGTACTCAGGTTCGTTCCATTCGAGCGGCGTTAACACCATAAAAACTGTTTTCCTCGTTTTCGGACAATGGTACGAGAGTCACACTGTGCAATATACTCACCGGGTACTATTTCCAAAGACAAGTCACTGTTATGGGTGTGACCGAGTTAAACAACAACTCTAGGCAGTCTAGGTATCTTACACTCCAAAATGTAACACAGCAATAGAACGGAAAGTGCTTTATCTCAAGTCAATCTTCAAGTATTTGGGAACATTCATACATCAGATGGACGATGTGTGACATAAATTAAGAGCAGAATTGGCCAGACAAAGGCAGCTTTTGAGAGGGTGAAAAGTATTGTATGTAATAAATCACTCATTAAACATCAGGAAACGAGTATTGAAATGTTGTATCGAGCCTGTTCTGTCGTATGGTAGTGAATCGTAGAATGTGAACAAAATAATTAAGACAAGTTTGGAGGCAACTGAGATGTGGTTCTTGAGAAGAATGTTGAGAGTACCTTGGGCTGCTAGAGTAACCAACAATGAATATCTGGAAAAAGCTAA